TTTTAAAAATAAATAAAATATTAATTAAAATTAATAAAAATATATAAAAAATTAATTAAAATAAAAAATTTACATTTTAAATAAGGTGTCGTGTGAAAATAAATATTTAAACTACAAAGCACAGCTTTTATCTCTTCCAATTTTAGTTGTATCTTCTGAAACCCCATTTTTTTTAATGGTGCATGGCTGTGTGATGAAACATGCAATTCCAAAGTCAAAATTCAAAACTCAAAACCTACATTAGAAATAGGAACAAGAAATAATAACAGAAATAAAGGCATCCATTGCCAGTACTTTCCACATATTTTTTTAGTTAATTATCCTTTTTGGTCTCTCTACTATTGAAAAAAAATCCTTTTTGGTCTTTGTATTGAAAAAATCTCAGTTTTAATCCCAAAATTTTAAAATCCAACCCCTTTTAGTCCCTCCATTAATTTTTGCTCACGTGACACGCTATCTTATCAGCAACATCCAACATGTACATTTCACCCTGTAAAGACGCTTATGTGGACTCAATGACTCAACTTAATGACTCCTCGTGCAAGAACAAACTGTATCAATGTTTCTAGTTCCTTCTCTAGCTATCATCTTCCTTCTTTCAAAATTCTTGTTTCTCGTTTATAATCAATCTTTTATACATGAGATTGGTCAAGATATAATCCATAATTCATAAGAATATTTTCATTGCTAAAAATAAAAATTAATTACTAATTAAAATAATTTATCAGTACTTTAAACATTAATTTCTCCTTTGCAAAACAGATCCTTCACTTTACTCATAGCAACATGAACTTAACAACATTAACCTATTACTTGCAATTTCAAACCAGATATCAAACCCAAATATCAAACACATTTGAACATGAAATTTTGGTTTCATTCGTCTCTTTTATGAAAGATAGATACATTCAAAATTTAAAAAAAAAAAATGAAACAAAAAAGAGGGTTGAAGGAACCCAGATCGAGGAACCCAAAAACTAGGTTCTTCAAAGAACCTAGAAACGGGTTCCTTGAGGAACCCAGCAACTGGGTTCCTTGAGGAACCCAGCAACTGGGTTCTGTGAGGAACCCAGGATGATGAAGACTTGAAAAGGATGGTGGATGCTGAGGATGAGAATAAGGAGGAGGATAAGGATGAGGAGAAAGAAGAAGATGAAGAAATTAAAATTAATTTCGTTTAAATTCTTTTTATTCATGGATTAAGAAGTAAACTTTTTTATTTTTACATGTGGCATTAAAATATTCAGATGAAATGTCCACGTAATTTTCATATCATTTATAATATTATTTATATAAAAAAAATCAATTTATTCC